CTAACTATCTCTCAACCATACACCTAATTCTGTCATTCTACTTTTCTTATTGGAATACATATGAACTTGTTATAGTGAGGTTAATTTTGTCTTTTTAACCTCTTCAGAGCTTAGAAGCAGAGAAGCAGAATAAAATTTTCCAATGTTGTGTTGGTTCTGCATTCTTTGAACGTGATAATGCAATAATAGAGGTATAATCTCTTGATTTTATGTCTTAATTACATAAATTATTATTCTATAATCATGTAATTTGAATTGTGTATATGCTTCTGATAGGCTGAAATAGTCAAAGAAAAATAGGAACTTGCAACACAACAATTGGGAATTATCCAGCAAAAGTAAGAACTTTATGTTTATACTTCAAAAAGCATCATCATTTATTTATTTCTAGTATATCTGTTAAAGTTTTTATATAAACCAGGATAGAAGAACTCACAACAATTAGTTTTTTTCATCTCTAACTATCTCTCAACCATACACCTAACAGAAAAGCCTAAACTAAGCATTTTTTTGTATAATTTTCAGACATTTGAAGTATACACAATTAGGACAGCTGGTCTGGAGCAGGAAATAGATGATTTGAAGAAGAAGTTAACTTCTTGTATGCGGAATAATGTAAATCTCCAAGAAGAGCTTTCACAGTGTTATCGTATCATACAAAGGTTAATTCTGTCATTTTACTTTTCTTATTGGAATACATATGAACTTGTTATAGTGAGGTTAATTTTGTCTTTTTAACCTCTTCAGAGCTTAGAAGCAGAGAAGCAGAATAAAATTTTCCAATGTTGTGTTGGTTCTGCATTATCTAAACGTGATAATGCAATAATAGAGGTATAATCTTTTGATTTTATGTCTTAATTACATAAATTATTATTCTATAATCATGTAATTTGAATTGTGTGTATGATTTTGATAGGCTGAAATAGTCAAAGAAAAATAGGAACTTGCAACACAACAATTGGGAATTATCCAGCAAAAGTAAGAACTTTATGTTTATACTTCAAAAAGCATAATCTTTTATTAATTTTTAGTATTCTGTTAAAGTTTTTATATAAACCAGGATAGAAGAACTCACAACAATTAGTTTTTTTTCATACGTTGTCTATTTAAAAGTTTTTATTAAAAGTTTAACCAGTTTAGTAATTAAAACGAACAATGTGTGGCTTCCCAAAAAAATTGAATCCCTTTGTATGTTCATGTTTATAAATGACCATCATTTTGTTGATTCTGAATGTGAATGTTTTTGAAGACACATAGGAAGAAGAGATACATATTGCATAACTAATTTGTGTAAGATACATATAAATTAAGGAAAAATTTTGATAAAAAAAAAACTTCTGCTTATTAGAACACCATTATTGATCTTCAGTAAGGTGTTTAGTAGATTTGTGATTTTGACGGTCTTTAAAAAACAATATAAATTATGTAGAAACAACTAATACTACAGACATTTCTTTTTGAAAAATGACATAATTTGAAATACATGACTTTTGGTATATATAACATTGGATTGGAATGGATTTTAATTCCAATTCCTTTAAAATCCCAAGGAATGATGCAATACAAATACCCTTAAGGGTATTGAGTTTGTTCAATGTCATAAATTAATATAAGGTTTTTTATATTTTAATGAGCTGTTATTATTTATCCCGAAAGACCAACAAACATATATTTATAACCTAAAACTACAATGTAGTATTATTTTAAGCTAAAAATACTACTTATATTTTTAACACAAAACAATAAAACTCTATTATTATTTTTTCTCTTTTTGTAATATAAGGTTTCTTAAATTTTAATGAGCTGTTATTATTTATCCCAAAAGACCAACAAACATATATTTATAACCAAAAACTACAATGTAGTATTATTTTAAGCTAAAAATACTACTTATACTTTTAACACAAAACAATAAAATTCTATTATTTTTTGAACTATAGTTTTGAACATGAGTTTTTTTATTTGTATTTTTTCTGAAATGTAATATTTCCTAAATGCATGAAATACCAACATGCTTTTATCTATTCAACTTTCTGGAATCTTTCAAATATAGCATTCTATTATGTAAAATTCCGTTTTTTGGAAATTTGAAAATAGACCGGAAATTTTACAAAAAAGTTCTTTTAAAGCATTGCTATATTAAAGCTTTGCTATTGTGTTGTTTTTTTATATGATTTTTGTTGGCACAAATCTATTTAAATGAACACAATTACTCTTTTGAATAAGTGATGTAAATAAAATACACCGAATGAAAAACTACAAATCACAGAAAAATAATTATAAACAATGAAATGCATACCTTTTTGCCTTTGATTAACCAAGCTAACAAATGTTTACGGTAATAGAAGGCTGTAGAAAGGAAGAAGTATTGATTTAGTATTGTGAATATCAGTATAACGAAGAGGTAAAAACACAAAAAAACCCACCTTTTGCAGGAGCGTGGAAGGAAAAGTAAATGTGGCTTTTGGCGGAATATTATGTCATATATATGTATTGAATTCAAGTTGGTTTTGGATGGATAAGATAAAAATCATTTTATCCATTTGTTAAATTTTGAATTTAAAAATATAGTTAGGATAGATAATGTAGAAAGTTTTAGATTATGTTTTAAAATTTAAAATTAGGATAATGTTGATGGTTAGTTTGAAAAAGGATAATTTTTAAAACAGCCCATGAATATATTATTTACCAAAACAGTCCCTGAGTTTTAAGTTAATACCAACAGCCCCTAATACATTTTGTTTTTTTTTTCTGTAAGCATTTTACTTTGAAAAGTCTTCAAATTATGACATTGTATTTTCATTTTCTTATTAAAAACGCATTTCATTTGGAAAAACCATGTACTTTATTCAATTATTTGTTTGCCATTGCAGGTATGCTTTATCCAGGAGACTGATGAGTTTTTGCATAAAGAGGAATGTAAGTGTTATTAGTATCTATCATTATATTGTTTTAGTTTCTCGAATTGCATTTCATACTTTCATTTCTATGTATTATGACATTATACTTTAAATGTTTATCTCAATAAGGCGTTGTACTTTAAAAATATACAATGTTGTAATAAGAAATGAAAGTAGGATGCTATAAGAAACCATAATATCCCATGAATTTAACTATAATACCAAGGGCCAATAAATATGTAGTTATTTACCAAGCCCCTGAGGCGTGTTAATAGTCTTTACAAAAATCATTTTTTAAGGCAAATTTAAAACTCATAAAACTATTCGTCTTTTTTTGGGTTAGTTATAGTTCATGTTTTTTGTATTGCGAATGTTAACCAGAAAACCAATTTTCTTTTTTTGTCATTTTTCTTTTGATGTGATATTTGATATTTAAAGTTAGATTTCAATTAATAGTTATCATATTTATTAACGGTTACCTTTTAAAATCACAAATGTTTATATTATTATACCGTAATTTCAAAGAATAGCCTCACAATTAATACAAATATAATAACAAATTTTGATCTTTTACCCTTTGACTCATTAGGAAATAGTATTAATTATTTAATATTAGAACAAATAACATACAATATAATCATCAATAAAATTTGGTTTGGTAATGTACATGAGTTAATACAAAACTCTTAAAAAAGAGTAATATCATCTCATTTTCCTTTTAAAAAAGAACCGTGGTTTTCACAACACATGTTTTTACACATTTTTTTTTGTCTTTGAATCCAAATACCATTTAATGTATTTTTTCCTATATTAATGCTGTACAAAAACTTTTTCTTAAATTTGTAACTATCTATTATTTTGTGTTTTTAGAATGGTTTTATATAATTTTTTAATTCAATGGATAAACCATTTAAGGTTGCGTCTTATTTTATAGTATGGATTATTTCTAGTTTAAGATAAAGAGAAACAAAATCTGCTATGAAATATGTCAAAGCATTATGATGTTCACAAAAACGATTTATTTATATAGAACCGTTAAAAGACAAACACCAACTACATTAAAAATAACATGTTTAAAATTATCAACTTATTAACTAAATAATAACTTACACTAGAAAATAACATGTTTAAAATTACAAACTTATTAACTAAATAATAAGTTGCTTACAAACTTAAATATGTGGAACAAACATAAATAATAGACCAAAAATAATAAGAAATATACCTTAAGTGATTACAAAGTTGAATTCCCTTTACTGAAGATCTAGCAATAATAAAGATGATTTAAACATAATAGGTTGTTAAAAATGACCATGTTTCGAGTAGCTCGATATTAATATGCCACTCACTACAAAAGATAAAAACACAAATCAATAAGATTACAACACATAAATGAAAGTAAATGTTATATCTGGTTGGAACTTTCAAAGTACAATGCTTTAATAAGGACAAATTGAAAGTACAATATTCCAAAGTGCTAACATTTGACTTGACTTTATTTTACTTTTTCTTGGATAATTTTAAAAAGTGGATCTCTCATGAGGTTCCTGAAAATCATAGCATCCTACTTTCATTTCTTTTAATACAACATTATACTTTCACAGTTTTTCTAAATAAGACATTGTCTTTATTTAAAGAAATTTTACAATGTTGTAATAAGAAATGAAAGTAGGATTTTATGTTTAAAACACATTTGACTAGACTTAATTTTACTTTTTCTTGGATAATTTTAAAAGGTGGATCTCTTATGAGGTTCCTGAAAATTACAGCATCTTACTTTCATTTCTTTATAATAAAACATTCTACTTTCAATATTTTTCTAAATAAGGCATTGAATTTATTAAATTTTTTTTTGAATGTTGTAATAAGAAATGAAAGTAGGATGCCATGATAAACAATAAAGAATAAACAAATAGAGTATGAAAAGTATGATTCAAAAACCATAAAATTCAATAATAATCATTAAAAACATAAAAACCCAATATCAAAGCATCTAAAACCATAGAGTCATAAAAGATAAAATATCAAATATTCGACTTGCTATAAGCAAAAGTCATTCAAATTATTAAAAAACAATTTTAACGATCTTTCTTGCAAGGATCAGTCTTCACCCAACTCTGATTCATCATCTATAAACGGATATGGTTGAAAACGTACATCATTTTCAGCCGGATTTGGCTGGATCACACCTACATCATCTTCAGTGGGATCTGGCACATCATCTTCACCATGTATTGGATGGTTCACATCCAATACAGGAAACTCCAACCCATATCTGCAAAAAGTTATTTGAAAATAGTAATAATAGACACATAAAATTAAAAAATATCTAGAAATAATCAATTTAGGAATGAAGTGATTATAATATATAAACTAAATTAGTTCTATTCAATTATGTAATAACTGTTTAAATACAACTGAAATTATCATGACATACCGGTAATCTTCATTCGGTAGACGACTAAGCTTAGTGAACCTGTTTCGGCTCTGAATTGTGAGTCGGGGCATTTTCAATGGTTTTATCGAGTCAGCTGTATCTTCTGTATCCACATCTTCATCAGTAAATTGTTGTTGACTATCAGAACTTACAAGATCCACCACTTCATCCCATTTCCAAGATTGAAGTGCCAAATCACGTTTTTTTTTGGAGGAGAGAAAGTTGTTTTTCACAAGTTTCAAGTTCTGTTGTTTCTACATCCATGTTAAAGGACTGCATGATGGCTGCCAAGGAGGAAAACATTAGGAATTAATATAACTCAATATAAATTCAAAATGAAAAGAAAAAACAATAACAAATAGCCGAACATACTTTTTGATAGTTGGGATATTGAATTTGACTGAAAAAAATATGGCGGCAGTCTTATATATATAATGATCTTCCTGATAAAGTTTGTTTGTTATTAAGGGATAAAACATGTATTATTTAAAATTTGAAATTTAAATATTATAAATAGTGGATAAATACAAAAGATAAGATTAATATTCGAATATATAACTTTTATATTTGAATTTTATAATTTTTATGGATAGATAAGTAGGATAAGATTTATAAATTTAAAAGTAGGATAATGTCAATGTAACAACCAATATTTATGTAGTTAGGATTGATATTGTAGAAAGTTTTAGGATATGTTTTTTAAAATTAAAGTTAGAATAATGTCAAATATATTAATTTTTTTTGTTTATGTAATATCCATTTTTAAATATTCGAATTTCAAAATTTATAAAATTAAAATATGGATTTTGTAAATATGAAATATATAATTTTAAATTATAGAATTAGAATTTCATTTTCCTTGTAATCGCATTGTACATTGAAAAAGTTTAAAGTACAATGTTATAATGAAAGTATAATGACTTCATCTTCTAGGGGTAATTTTGGCATTTCTATAAACAAATTACTGTTTGGCTAGAGCAATTATCACAATTTGGTTTTCAAGATTTAAAAAAATCAGTTTCATTTTCCTTGTAATCGCATTGTATATTGAAAAAGTTTAAAGTACAATGCTATAATGAAAGTATCACTTCATCTTATAGGGGTAATTTTGGAATTTTTTTAAACAAATTATTGCTAGAGTAATTATCACAATTTGGTTTTCAAGAATTAAAAAAATCACGTATATTTTCCTTGTAATCGCATTGTATATTGAAAAAGTTTAAAGTACAATGCTATAATGAAAGTATAATGACTTCGTCTTCTAGGGGTAATTTTGGCATTTCTATAAACAAATTATGGCTGCAGCAATTATCACAATTTGGTTTTCAAGAACTAAAAAAATCATATTTGCTAACTGGTTTTTAGCTTTATTATGGTTATATTTGTTGGCATATTATTTTCTAAGCCTTTTGTCAAACGCAAAAAATGTTCAAATGAGGCAGTTAAAGGTTAGTGCGTTTATAGCAATGCACTTTGGTGAAAATGGTAAAAAGTGATCATTTTGGTATTTTTTTTTAAAGAAATATTCTAAATGATTAGGCCGCTTATAGCAACGTACTTTGGTGAAAATGGTAAAAACAAAAGGGTAATGTTTTTTTTTTCTGGAAATAACAATTTCTTTATATAAATACATAATTAGAATTTCATTTTCCTTATAATCGCATGGTACATTGAAAAAGTTTAAAGTACAATGCTATAATGAAAGTGTTATGACTTCATTTTCTAGGGGTAATTTTAGAATTCTTATAAACAAATTACAGTTTTGCTGGAGCAATTATCACAATTTGGTTTTCAAGAATTGAATAAATCTGATTTGCTAACCGGTTTTCAGCTATATTATGGTCATATTTGTTGGCATATTATTTTCTAAGCCTTTTGTCAAAGGTAAAAATGTTCAGATGGGGCAGTTAAGGGTTAGTGTGTTTATAGCAATGCACCTTGGCGAAAATGGTAAAAAATGATCATTTTGGTATTATTTTTTTAAAATAAATATTCTAAATGATTAGGCCGCTTATAGCAACGTACTTTGGTGAAAATGGTAAAAACAAAAGGGTAATGTTTTTTTTACAGGATATCACATTTTCTTCTTATTTTGGCTTGTTAATATTTTCAAAGTATACTATAAATATAAAGTAACCTCAACAAACTTTTGATCAACAAACAAACATAATCTAAAATTTTAATCCTATGAATTTTTAAAATATTCATTCTTATATCAAGTGATAAAGCCTTAATATATAAGGTATAAAATAAATTTTAAATTCATTAGATAAGTATATTCTGGTTTTAGAGGGGAAATACCAACTCGAGGCAGGTAATAAAAATAGCATTAGAAAGACAAAAGCAAGCTATGCTCAACAAAGAAAATGCATTAAAAAATACAAAGAGGAAAAAGCTAAAACACCTTCCAAATAGTATCAAACTTTGGCATAAACAACTACTAAAATTCTTAATTTAAATAGAATCAAACTTCGGTTATAATAATCAACCAATACAAAGTACATTGCTATTATTTGAATTTAAACCTTCATAAAGTACTATGACACAATAACTAACCTAATCTATATTTGTAATTTGTAATTTTTATTAGATTATATTGATATAAAGGTCTTCATCTATTTTTTTGTATTCACCCAAGAGAGAGCCATTGGTGTCGACGATCATCCGGTGGCCATAATTCATCCACCAATTTATTTTTGCATTCTCATTTGCATAGATAATGTATTCTTGTTCCAAGGGTAGTTGTGGAATTTTGTTTTGCATGCAATCTTCTTCATTCATAACTTTCTTATTTGAAAGTATAATGACTTCATCTTGTAGGGGTAATTTTGGAATTTTTTTTTGCTTGTCATCTTCTGTTTGTGTATTCAAAAACTTCTTTTCATTTTTAGATTTGGTGGTTTGATTGTTGAATGGTTCCACTTGAACCCTTGTAATATCGTAGACATCACCAGATTTGCAATCTTCACATAACCAATCATTTTTAGGTACTTCATCCTTAATGCTCTGCATACAATATGTGTGTTCGGCACCATCCATACATCTACTACATATAGCAAGTAAGTGCTCATAGCCTATATCTCCACATATATCACACACAATGATATAACATAACTGGTCATCAACAACCTCAACATCCATTACCCTGAACATATAACTTGCAAAAACCCCTACACCTGGAAAAAAACCAATGTTTCATCTAACACCCTTTTTTTAGAAAGAAAATTATGAATATTAAAAAAATGTAAATAAAATTACCCAATATATTTGTTATGCATGAACGAAAAAGAGGCAATATGTCTGCCACCATGTATATGTTATGTATATTTCTTGAATGTATAATTCTTCACAAATACATTCATATTAAAGAGAGTAGAATGTATATTAATTACATTTCACAAATACATTACCTAATAAGATTTATGTTTTATGCAGGAACGAGAGTTAAAAAAAAAAGGCTAAAATGATGAATATTTCACTCCTGTTAACACAAAAAACACACAGAAACACCATTAAAGATAAGAGAGAGAGAGTGAGAGGGAGTTTGTATATATATGTATTTGTTTTGTATTTTATTAGAGAGAGAAAGAGAGAGAGTGAATTATATTGTGTTAGTATGTAAACACAGACACACATAGTCACAAACACCATTTAACAAACCTGTTATGTTTGTTTTTTCTGCAGGAACCGAGATGAGATCCTGTTAACACAAAAAACACATAGACAACATTAAAGATAAGAGAGAGAGAGAGAGAGAGAGAGAGGAGTTTGTATATTTATGTATTTGTATTCTGTTGTATTAGAGAGAGAGAGAGAGAGAGAGAGAGTTATTAGTATATGTAAACACAGTCACACAGTCACAGACACCAATGAACATACCTGCTATGTTTTTCTTTTTCTGTAGGATCCGAGATCAGATCCTGTTAACACAAAAACACATAAACAACATTAAAGATAAAAGAGAGATAAAGAGAGAGAGAGAGAGATGAGAGTTTGTATATTTATGTATATGTATTCTGTTGTATTATAGAGAGAGAGAGAGAGAGAGAGAGAGAGAGAGAGAGAGAGAGTTATATTGTGTATGTAAACACAGTCACACACAGGCACAAACACCATTGAACATACCTGCTATGTTTTTGTTTTTCTGCAGGATCCGAGAGAGAGATTGAGAGTGAGTTTATGTATTCGCCAAAAAAACAGAAACACATATAAAAAAAAGAATGAATTTTAACGATTTCAAGAATTATAGGATAAGAAGCTTTTGTAATTTATAGTGGATTATATTACCAAAAATATAGGAAAGGTAAGTATACATGGGACTTAGTCAAAAATTCGTGATTATTATTTTGACTTTTTCCAATATTGACCAAACCAATATCCAAGATCATTCAATGCTTAAAATGATTGTAAACACTGCATTAGGGCTTGTACGACTTAAAATTCAGCGTTTGACCAAAGATGCTTTATGGGACTTAGTCAAAAATTCGTGATTATTATTTTGACTTTTTCCAATATTGACCAAACCAATATCCAAGATCATTCAATGCTTAAAATGATTGTAAACACTGCATTAGGGCTTGTACGACTTAAAATTCAGCGTTTGACCAAAGATGCTTTATAAGGTAAAATAGATATATATATATATATATATATATATATATATATATATATATATATATATATATATATATAGGGAAAAGTGAATATACCCTTAAGGGTATATAAGCTTAGGTACCCAAACTCATCATAATACGTCATTTTGTTTGATATATTCATTATAATGTTTTTAAACTTCAATCCATAACTTGATTTACTTTCAAGATTTTTAAAATTTTGCTATTATCTTACTCTTACATCACATCTTTTTACCAAACACCTACTAGGCTATATATATTATGGTTGAAAATGAAAATTATGTAAGAGGAAGATAAATGTGAAATTTTAAAAAATCTTGAAAATAAATCGAGTTAGAAGTTGAATTATAAGAACATTGGACAATTACAATGTGTGTGTATATATATATATATATATATATATATATATATATATGATACAAAACGACGTAGTATGG